AGGGAAGCCTGGCGTGCTGCAGTCCAAGGGGTCACAAACAGTCGGACACGACTGATAGACTGAACTGACCCTGACCACCCTGATTGGCTCAGGGAATGGCACCTGACCCAAGCAGAATCTTTTTCTGCCAGAGCCTTCTCAAAGCCACATTCATTCTTGAATTTCCCAATCTGGTGAGCCTGCAGAATTTCTTTTTGGCTTAAGACAGTTTGGGGTTTCTGTCCCTACCACTGAAAAAAGTTTTAAGTAATACTACCGTACAAAAATGCGCTTTCTGTCCTTGTTTTGAGGCCTGCCTGGAATTGCATTAAAACAGCAAGAGCAATAAAAACAGCAGACAAAACAACAATAGTTTCAATCCATTTAAAATCTTTAGTCTCTTTAAAAAATGCCAAAACAGATTCCAGTCCCAACACAGAACAAAAAGTTTTCAAATCTATTTTCTCCATCTCTCTCATCTCATAGTCACCGCAGCTGGCTCCTAAATTTGCTTCTTTCTTCTCCAAACACCTAAGCCCCAGTTGGCTCTTAGCTTTTTCCTTCTCATCAGCCTTTTTCAGTGTCCAATGATCCTGATCCAACCTTGCTGGATCTTGGAAGCAGGAAGGAAAGAATAAAGGTGTAATTCCTTGTACAGTAATGTGGATTTATGCAGATCAGTCTCGGAGTCAATGGAAGAGGTTTAATTGTAAAATCCCATCTATGGAGTGAGGCATGACTGTGAAATCATACTTTCAGAAGAGATACTGAGGTCTTTCAAGCATGAGTCATAAGCCAAGTACAGCTTAATAAACATTTACAGAGTAACTACCATGTGCCAGCTAAGAGCCAGGAGTGGGGCTGAGTTGTCTCAGGCATCTGGAAATGTGGTTGCCTGAACTCCAGACATGAAAAGTCAGTTAGTGAACAAACTTACGGTTGCTGAGTGGGGAAAATGGGGGGAAGGGATAGTTAGGGAGTTTGAGATCGACATGAACACACTGCTCTATTTAAAATGGATAACTAACAAGGACCTAATGTATAACGCAAGGAACTCCACCTAATGTTATCTGGCAGCCTGGATGGGAGGGAGATTTGGAGGGAAATGGATACACGTATATGCATGGCTGAGTCCGTTTGCTGTCCACCTGAAATGATCACAACATTGTTATCAGCTGTAGGCCAATATAAAATAAAAAGTTAAGGGAAAAAAAAGCCTGCAACTCACTTATCATTGAATAGCTACTATGTCCTAGGCTGTGAGGATATATCCAGGCAGAGAAATATTAAAGGCACAAAAATGATTTCTATGAAATGGTGGTTAGTACTGCCAAAGGAAACATATTGGGGGCTGAGAACAAACAAAAGTCAGGGGTTAAGTTCCCTGAGAAAGTGACTCATGAGCTGAGACAGGAAGCAAGAATAGGAACTGGCTAAAAGACTACAAGACTCGGGGGAAGATAAGCTGGGGAAGGGAATCCTGGGCACAGGAAGGGAAGCCTGGGCACAGTATTTGAAAGATGAGAGAGAGTGAGAATGAAAGCGAGAGCAAGAGGAGGAAGGAGAGAGAGAGAGAGATAGAGAGAGCTTCCAGGAGGACTCTCTGTGTGGGTGGAGAACAGAGAACTGGAGGAAGGTTCAAAAGGTCAGTGGAGGCCCCGCTGTAAAAGCCTTTGACTGCCACGTAAGGGATCACGAGTCTGGACCAGAGACTTCAACACGATCCCTATGGGCCACCTAGGTCTTGAGATAGTGGTTTGTTCAAAACACGGAGAAGCTCAGTTCTGGTTCTTCCACCCTGTGTTGTGTTGAAGCAGGCTACTGCAGACTCAGGAGACCCCATGGTGTGTATTTCTTCCCAATTTTGTATTCAGTGACTTCAAACCGAAATTGACCATGATGGAGGTATGTATACCACAGAAACTGGCAAATGCTACCAAGCAGGGCTTTCCCCTGCCCCACGAGACCCAGTCCTTAAACACCAGCACCTCTGCTTTCGCCAAAGAGGAAGCTGGCACCCCAGCACTGGAGAGTTCAGTGCTAATGATCTTTGCAAATCAGGAAGTGATCAAGATCGGGGCATTTCATTTTCATCTGCCCTTAACCATCAGGAGGCTTTGTAGAAGAAGTTTTAAACCCACAGGTCAGACTGAGATCCAAATGCCAGCCCCGTCACTAATCCGCTGTGTGACCTTGGGCAAGCAGCACAATCTCTCAATTTCATCTGTTAGAAGAGATATTGATACCCACCTCATGGGACTGATGTGTGTACTAAACACATGTAAACTGCAATGCCTGCTGAATAATAAGGACTATTATGGATTTAAGGACTAATGCTATTGAACGCTGTTTTAGGTAAAGAGCTCTCGATAGAGATACACTCATTTTATTCCAGAATGGACTTATAATCATTGTTTGAGATACTGGAAAGAAATGGAAGGAGCTCCCTGAGGACCTACATAGAGGTTAGGTCGTGGTAACTAGCTGAGATTTTCTCTTTCATCTTTCTTTTTTCTCAAGTGACATCTTTTAACATTTTGAGAGATGCAGCTTACCCGACTTCTGTGGTCACAAAACGTCCTTTTGAACTGTTGCAGCAAGGCATTCAGACACAGGGCTTGCTGATTTGAACTTATGGGGTGGGGAGAAAGGGAACCAGGGAGAGCGAGCACATGGCAGGTTTTGTCAAAAAGGTGCCAGATTCAGATGAGCCACGTATGTGGAACAGGTGGCAAAGGAAGACACTTCTGTGCCCCCTGCTAAACTGCTCCCAGTTCAGTGGGATGCTGAGTCTGAAAGAACTGCAGTTGGTCAGATGAAGCCACAGTTCCATAGACGATTCAAAGATACTTAAGTATGCTCCCAGATGAAACTGCTTCTATCTTCCTCGCCTTTGAGGTCTGGACATGGCTTCTGTGAGCCCATGTTAAGAAGTACTGATTGAATTCAATGCATGATGCAAATCCCAGAAGTCTCCTGAAATGTCTGAACATCTGCACCCAGGGAAAAATACAGGGCAACCAAGTCCCCAGAAGATGCATTCTCTCTCCCAAGAACTGCTGGAACCCAATCAGATGAGCCCCAGGATTCTCTCTGCAACTTCATTGGTCCTAGTTCATGGGCTTGGTCACAACTGATCAACAGTTACCAGGCCCATTACTGAGACCCAGAGAATGAACAAAGTAGTTACCCAGAGGCAGTGTAGCCATGAAGTCAGACAGGCCTGGGACTGAATCCAGAATTCAGCACCTGCGTGAGCTATCTGGGTTCTCAGAATGGCCGATTCCTTATCTGTGAAGAGGAAGCAAAACCTCCTTTGAGAGTTGTGGAAGAACAGAAAGCAACAGAGTTCATAAAGGAAAGGTATGATTATTCTTTAGAATACAAGTGACTTTTCTTGTTGGAAAAACAACATATATTAATTAGAAATTAGTTTTGGGTTAATTTAATTACTTAACTTTAGAAGTTAGACATAAACAGAAAGAAGAAAACTTAAAAATATCCTCATCATTGAGAGATAACAAACGCTAACGTATTGGTGTTCAGAACAGTTCAATTCAGTTGCTCAGTCCTGTCCAACTCTTCGAAACCCCATGGACTGCAGCACACCAGGCTTCCCTGTCCTTCACCAGCTCCCAGACCTTGGTCAAACTCATGTCCATTGAGTCGGTGATGCCATCCAACATCTCATCCTCTGTCATCCCCTTCTCCTTCTGCCTTCAATCTTTCCCAGCATCAGGGTCTTTTCCAACAAGTTGGCTCTTCGCATCAGGTGGCCAAAGTATTGTAACTTCAGCTTCAGCATCAATCCTTCCAACAAATATTCAGGATTGATTTCCTTTGGGATGGACTGGTTGGATCTCCTTGCAGTCCAAGGAACTCTCAAGAGTCTTCTCCAACACCACAGTTCAAAAGCATCAATTCTTTGGCACTCAGCTTTCTTTATAGTCCAACTCTCACATCTAGACATAACTACTGGGACATATTGGTGTTATACCCTTCCAAATCTCTCTATGCCTATGTCTGTGTGCCTGCTCAGTTGTATCCGACTCTTTGCAAACTCACGGATTGTAGCCCGCCAGCGTCCTCTGTCCATGGAATTTTCCAGGCAATAATATCAGAGCGGGCCATTATTTCCTACTCCAGGGGATCCTCCCGATCCACGGGTTGAACCTGAGTCTCTTGCATCTCCTGCGTGGGCAGATACTTTACCACCCGTGACTCCTGCGACGCCCGCAAATGCCTATAGGCACACATTTTTTTAATGCGCTCGTATTTTGGTACTTGCTTTCCTGCTATTGAGTAAACATCTATGAGTGACTACGTATGTCTTGGCAGCATCTTTTTTTTAATGACTGTAGACTCTTCTGTGGTGAGGCTTGTTCCATTGTCTGGAAGCGATTACTGTTCGGGGACAGGTACCACGCCAAAGGCTTTGGCATCAGAGGGACCAGTGTTCCCGGGAACATGCCCAGGAAGCTCTGGAGGCTGTCATTCCCCCGTGAAGGGTGCAGAGAATAACAGGACGGACCCCACCCCACCCCCATTGTCGCTGGAATTAAAGTAAATAACGGGCCAAAGTGCTTGACCTGGAACCTGGCACTTGGAACGCGCCCGGATACACCCAGTGGTGTCTGAGACTACGTTCTTAAAATGGCCCTGAACTAGTTTGTCTTGTTTCAAGTCTCGTGTTGAAATTCCTGTGATTACTAACTATGAACAGTTTTCCTCTTCTCCCCTCCCTCCATACGCGGATTTACTGATCTCCCCCCACTCCATCCCCTCGCCGGGATCGGGCAGAAAAAAACGAAGTAGAAGCTTTGGGGAGCTCCTGGAGTGTTTGAGCGGGGCTGCCCCAGGGGAAGCCCCGGGCGCCTCCCTGGCCACGCCCCCAGAGGGGCGTGCCCGTGACTCGGCCTCCTATTGGCTGTCAGTCGCATCACCTGCCCGGTGTGAACCAGGGGGCCGGAGGTGTGGGAGGCCTGACCTGGTACCCCTCCCCGGGCCGCAGGAGGGTCGGCATGACGGGGGCCCGACGCTGGGCCCCCCTGCTCCTGTGCCTGCTGCAGTCAGCTCCAGGTAAGGGATGGGGCCGCGGGGCGGGCGCGGGACCGCGGGGGCGCTCCATCCGGTCTGCACCCAATTCAGACCGACCCAGGGAGGGAGTGCCCAGGCAGAGGTCTGTGCGGGGTAACCCTGGTCGTGCGAATCAGCAGAGCCCATCCCTCCCCCCTCCCCGCACCCAACCCGCCACCGCCAGTTTTTTTCTAACCGGGGACTAAACAGACTCGCCACTCCAGTACTCTTGCCTGGAAAATCCCATGGACGGACAGAGGAGCCTGGCATACTGCAGTCCATGGGGTCGCAAAGAGTCGGACACGACTGCGCGACTTCACTTCACTTTCTAAACAGACTCGAGTCTGAAATTCCTTTACAGGAAGGAACTGATCCAGTTTCCTAGTGCCAGTTCAGGTCCAGGTGAACAGAGAAAAACAGAGAGTGGCAGTTCAAAAGTCAGCTGCATTTGTCTATAAAGCTCTTGTTAAGGTTTCCTAAAAGCCCTGTCCGCTAAATGAATACCACCACACTTGACCCTCGTTGGTACAGGAAACCAAGCAAAAGTGCGCTGCCCTGCTGGCTGGGAGCAGAGCGGGGCGGGGGGGGGGGGGGGGGGGGGGAGTCCCCTATCCTCCCCCTCCTCCCAACTCGAGGTGTCAAAACTTCCACCCAGGCCTGAGGGGAAGGACCACCCGCTTAGTCTAAGCTGTGCTACCGTTCTAACAAGTCACTTTTTTTTTTTTCTGCACCCCCACTAGTAAATAAGTTGACAGGGTACAAAACACCTTGGGTGGTTGGGATCCAACCACCAAACCCCAGCTAATCCAGGAAGAAGGAGCCCAGATTGGCGCCAGGATATCACCCTAATCTTAGACTAATAATTTAAGAGCTTAGAAGGGCCCTTAGACATAATCTAATATTGACGCTAAAAGCCAACATTTGTCTGAGCAACTTCTTTGTGCTGGGCACCACATTATTCTAGTTAAGCGTCACAACCCAACTGTCCTAAAGGTATTTTCTCCCTTTTCAGATGTGGAAACTGAGGCTCAGAGCAGTTAAGGGAATTACCCAAGAAGGAAGGCATTGGTGAGACACACAGAACAGGGAAGACTGAGGCTGAAGCGAGCATGGCCAGCTTTGGCGGCGGCTGGTCCTTCCACCCGGGTCAGCTCAGGGACGCCCCAGCTCCTGGTGCCTTCACCGCAGTGTTACGGCAGCTGATGAGGAACGGGATACCTACGTGGTGGGAGGGGAGGGAGTCCTCTGTACTCCCCTTTTCACCGTCAAACTCAATGGTTTTGCTGTTTAGCCCTAGCTATCCTTACACTCGATGAATATTTAATGTACAGAACACAAGCTGTGGTGTGAAGGTTTAGGGTGAAGCGAAGCTGAATCCAGGTTCTAATCCTGGCTCCCACACATAATGGGTGTGTAGCCTCAGGCAGTTGGGTTGTGACACTTAATTAGAATAATGTGGTGCCCAGCACAAAGAAGTTGCTCAGACAAATGTTGGCTTTTAACGTCAATATTAGATTAAGTCCAAGGGCCCTTCTAGCTCTTAAATTATTACTGTGTAATGGGTGTGTAGCCCCTTCTGTCTTAATAGGTGTGTAGCCCCTTCTGTGGAAGGGGATTGACGCCTACACCACAGAGTGGTTTGTCCTGAGGACTGAATGAGGTTTTGATTGAATGGGGATTTGACTGAATGCCACCCTTGTGCCTGGCACCTTTCGAAGGCTCAGTAGAGGGTAACGGATTGCCAGGGGGCTCAGTGGTAAAGAATCCGCCTGCCAATGCAGGAGACACAGTTTCGATCCCTGGGTCAGGAAGATCCCCCAGAGAAGGAAATGGCAGCCCACTCCAGTATTCTTGCCTGGGAAATCCATGGACAGAGGGGCCTGGCGGGCTACAGTCCAGGGTCGCAAAGAGTCGGACACCACAGAGCAGCTGAGCACCCAGAGGGCAACTACTCTGGCTGCTATTTCTCCACTGCGGCCAAGCTCAGACTCGAGGCCTATTCTCAGATAAGCCACTGGTAGACGGATTTTGGCCTCCTGCCAGCCACCTGCTAGAACGTCCAGAAACTGGGAGCACTGTCAGCATCAGCGTCCTGGTGATCCAGTTCCAACGACAGGACACAGGTTGGGGTGAAAGCAGGAGCCCACATTTGGGTCTAAAAGGCGGGAGTGTGGACCTGAACTGAGGGCCATCAGCAGAATGGGCCCCATCTTCCCTGATGCCCTTCTGTATACTGTATGGATTTCTATCACGGCGCATGTGACCCTTCAGGTAACTGAATTCTCCATGGGACCATGAGCACTTAAAGGGCAGGAGTGGAGTTGTAGCCCTCTTTGAAACTTCTGGCATGCAGTGATCAAGAGATGTTCTTGACCAGCAGTGAGCCACAGATGTTGGAAGAATAATGCTGAACATAGAAGGAAAAAGTGGAAACAATGGCAGGCTTTATTTTCTTGGGCTCCAAAATCACTGCAGATGGTGGCTGCAGCCACAGAATTAATAGACACTTACTCCTTGGACGAAAAGCTATGAAAAACCTAGACAGCATATTAAAAAGCAGAGACATCACTTTGCCAGCAAAGGTCCATCTAGTCAAAGCTATGGTTTTTCCAGTTATGTACAGATGTGAGAGTTGGGCTCACATAAAGAAAGCTGAGCACCAAAGAATTGATGTTTTTGAATTGTGGTGCTGGAGGACTGTTGAGAATCCCTTAGACACCAAGGAGATCAAACCAGTCAATCCTAAAGGAAATCAACCCTGAATATTCACTGGAGGGACTGATGCTGAAGCTCCAATACCTTAGCCACCTGATTTGAAGAACTGACTCATTTTTTGGATGAGACCCTGATACTGGGAAAAATTGAGGGTGGGAGGAAAAGAAAGCAACAGAGGATGAGATGATTGGATGGTGTCACTGACTCAATGGACATGAGTTTGAGCAAATTCCGGGAGATGACAGGGAAGCTGGGTGTGCTGCAATCCATGGAATCGCAGAGTTAAACATGCCTTCATGACTGAAGAACAGCAGGCCCCATGAGAAGCTACGGGAGGAAGTGTGATCAGAGTTCAGACTTTGGGGATTTCCCTGGTGGTCCCGTGGTTAAGAATCAGCCTGCCAATGCAGGGCACATGGGTTCGATCTCTAGTTGGGGAAGATTCCACATGCTTCAGAGCGAATAGGCCAGTGCACCACTCCTGAAACCTTCGTGCCCTAGAGCCAGTTTGCCGCAACAAGAGAAGCTGTGGCAATGAGAAGCACGTGCACCAAAATGAAGAGCCCAGCCCCCCACAACTCCAGAAAGCCCTCCCATAGCAACAAAGCCAAAAATAAAAATGAATTTAAAAAAAATTTTTCTAAAAGAGCTCAGACTTTGGGATTGACTAGGCCTGGATGGATTTGAATTCCATTTCTGCAACGTATTAGCTAAGAGGGCCTCAGTTTCCTCATCTGTAATGTGATGCTCACAATTAGTACCTGCCTCCTGGAGATGTGGGGCAGGTTGAAGGAGAAAATGCAGATGACATAGTTTTTGCATCGTGCCTGGCACATAGTTAGGACACAGTACACATTAGCTGCTCTAACTAGCAGCAGCAGCATCGCCACCACTTCTGACAGATGTCAGGAAGACTCCCCAGAGGAAGTGACATTTGAATCAAGTCTGTAAAAGATTGGATGGTGAATTGTCAAGAATGCTTGGGTTCAAGGACACACAGAGGAATGCAGTGGTTTGAGAAGGGCGAGAAGGAAGATTGGCTGCGGCCTGGTGAGGTGTGTTGGTGAGCTGTCAGGAAGACGTCAACGAGATGGCCAGGCCAAGCTGGGCAGGGCTGCACGTACCCTGATAAGGAGCATGGACTTTATTCTGAGGGCGCGGGAAGGGCAGGAGCTGGGCAGCTGTGTAAGCAGATGCATATTTCAGAAGCTGAGCAGTGAGAAGGAAGGAGTGCCAAGGAGGGCGGTAGGGGCAAGTTAGAGACGGTCAGGGAAAGAGCCGCTGGGACAGTGACGTCTGAGCAGAGAGGGGAAGGAAGCAAAGAAGTGAGCCAGATGGAATATCCGGGGGAGAACAGTCTAGGCGGAAGGAACAGCTTGTGAAAAGGCCTGGAGGTGAGTGCAGGCCCATCGCACTCTAGGAACAGGAAGGGGCCAGTGTGGCTGGAGGGGACAGAGTCCTGGGGAGTCCTGGGTCGGACTGGGTAGGGCCCTGTGGGTGACTGTAAAGACTTTGGATTTTACCTTGAGTGAAAAAGAAGCCACTGGGGCTTTAAAGCAAAAAGGTGACATGATTTAACTTTCATTTTAACCCTTGCTGCCATATGGTAAATGGATTGAGGGGACAAGGCTGGAAGCAGGGACAGCAGTTAGGAGGCCTTAGGGATAATCCAAGTCATCACAGTACTCATTCATTCACTCGACAGATTTTCACTGTGCACCTACTATGCGCCTAGGGGCCCTTGCAGACAGACTCTGGGGACATGGCTGAGGACCGGACAGAGCCTCCATTCCGTGAGGCCCTCAGGGCCATTTCCTCCTGAAGGCCAGGGTTCTATCAGATGGTTCTGCTCTGTGCTGTTTTGCTGGAATCCTCAGGTGCCAGGGTGGGCACAGATGGGCACAGATGTGCTGCTGAGGTCTAAGGAGGGGAAGGGGCTGTAGTACAGCCAGTAGGTCGCACAGTAATGACTGGAATCATGCCCCCCGGGTCTCCCGCCTACATCACGTCCTGTCTGCTTCGGCCACCCCAGACAATGCCTGCTTCTTCTTTTTTTTTTTCTTTTAATGCCTGCTTCTCGAACTGAGCAAGCACCCGATTGCCTGCCATGCCACGCTTCAGCTCAGAATGGCTCCAGGCTTCATGACCTCTTTCTCCTCCACAGGGCGGCCCCTCCTGGCCCCTCCCCAGAACGTGACACTGCTCTCACGGGACTTCAGTGCGCACCTGACGTGGCTCCCAGGGCCTGGCAACCCCCAGAACGTGACCTATTTTGTGGCCTATCAAAGGTGGAAGGATGCCTCTGAGCTGGTGGGGAGGGGGGTGTGGGGGGGGCAGTGGGCCTGAAGAGGTGGGCAGGGGCCAGAGGGGCTTCTCTGCAATAAATAGCTACATTCAGTGTGGGCAGCACCCACTGGTTCTCTGAGTCCCACGGGTGACAGCATGCGGCAGGTACTGGGAGAGGGTATTGACGAAAGTTCTGGAGGTGGGGGTGATGCTGAATGGTGAATAGTGCCCAGGTGATGGACCCGCCAGGAGAGAAGCAGAATCTTTGAGAAAAGTCGGAACAGGGCATGGATGGAGCTGTGAGGGCCTGATGATGGAATTCTTGAGGGCTTGGCTAAAGTGCTTGACACTGTAGCAGGTAAAGGAGGCAGAGATATCTCTTGCAGAGCTATGATAGGCATCATGAAATGATCACCCTTTTCCCCACGGAGCCTGCACAGAGCCTTGGGGTCCTTCTCACCTTGGCAGCCCAGGCATCCACCGCTGATGCAGAGGAGTCAAAAAGTGAAAGCAGATTTGTCATCTTTGCACATAGGTGGAAGTCATCTGAAGATCTTTCATTAGAGAGTAAGCTAATAAAAGCAGATACTCAGCAGCATCAATCTAGAATTGGTGGGAAGGAGGAGGCAGGAAGGAGAACTGCCATATCCTGAGGACTCTTCCTGTGCCAGGCTGAGTGCTAGGAGCCTAGCATGAGTGCCTCCCTTCTGCCTCCCTGTATCGCCAGGCAGGCTCTGCATTTCCCCTGTGTTGGAGGTGAGGAGGTACTCAGAGGTGCTGTGACTTGCCTAAGGAAGTCAGTGATGGAAGCAGAAGAAAAACCCACATCTGTCTGACCCCAAAGCTTGTGCTCTTCCTGTTCTATCATGGTGCCTCCATCTGTAGCCTCCAGATATGAACGGTGGGGGCCTGGCTTGGGAAAGGACAGACTGTAGAGAGCTTTCAAAAGAGAGAATGGGAACTTCCCTGGTGGTCCAGTGGTTAAGAATGCACCTGCCAATGCAGGGAACTTGGGTTCAATCCCTGGTCTGGGAAAATCCCACATACTGCAGGGCATCTCAGCCCGTGGGCCACAACTACTGAGGCTGTGCACCCTAAAGCCCATGCTTCACAACGTGAGAAACCACCATAACGCGGAAGTAGCCCTGGCTCATCACAACCAGAGAAAGTCGGCACGCAGCAACGAAAACCCGGTGCACCCAAACTAAAGAAAGAAAAGAAAAAGAAAGAATGGTGCAGAAATGTATCAGGAGGCAGAAAATACCCAGCCTGTCCTGCATGTTTGCTGTGTGTCTGCACGTGTCCATACATGAAACATATTTAATCTCACACTGCCCTGCAAGGAAGGATTCAGTGACTCCGCTCTACCAGTGAGGGAATTGAAACACTGAGAGGGTGTTTTGCTCAAAAGCACACAGCTAGGCATAGTGGAGGTGGGATAAATTGATTAAAGAATTGAAAGTCTAACCTCAGACTTTTATGATATTTTCCTTTCCTTTTACACTTTTGAAACACCTGTGAGGATTCCAAAACTGTGATATTCTAATGGTACTATTTTATCATTTATTAGCTAGAATTATTTTATAAAAAGATGCTTCCTTTCATGTAGTATTTGATATTCAGTGGTACTGTTCATACAGGCAAGACAGAATAAATGCTTGGAGTTTTTTTCTTGACCAGCTTGGAAGATAACGAATTGGTTCCCTATCATGCCCCAAAGGTGATTACCTTGTTGTTTATTTTTTTAATTATCATCACCAACTCAAGTAGTTAAACATATCTAATGGTTTAGTCCATTGCAATTGATTCTACTCACTGAAGCTTGAATTGTCTCACCTTTGGCCAATGCAAGTCCCTTCAGGTTGGCTCCTGGGTCCTTTGAACTTGACCCTAGTAAGTCTTGATATCTTTATTGTCATTTGTTGCAAATAGATGTTCCAGATTCATTTGCACAATTCCTCACCTGAAACCTGAAATCAGCCATGTCTCCATTTGGTTAAAAAAAAAATGGTTTTAAAGAACACTGTGTAGATGTCTGATCAGTACTGCACTATTGCTTTGAGATCTTTTCAATGAACAGAATTGAGGTAATATGTTTAAAAATCCCATCTCTATTCCTGGCTTCTACTGAGATGGCTGATTAAATCTGCAAGTCACACCCATGATCTCTTTATCAAATGATTTTCAAGCCACAACTTTGGCATTCTCTCCAGAACATGCTTTCTTATTTTTTTTTTTTTTTGGCAATATGCATAGGCTGAGAATTTTCCTTATCTTCAAGTTCTGGTTCCTTTAGGCTTAGCGATTCCTTCTATCTGTCTCTCTCTCTCTCCTCTCTCATTTTACTGTAAGCAGTAAGAAGAAATCATGTTACATCTGCAGCATATTTCTTAGAAATCTCCGCAGCTAAGTATCGAAATTCATCACTTTCCACTTCTGATTTTCCATAAAAACACTAGGATGTAATTCAGCGACACTCATTGCTACTCTATAACAAGGATCAATTTTCTTCCCGTTTCCAATAAGATATTCCTCCTTTCCATCTGATCACTCCCAGAATCACATTTTGTCAGAGCTCTTAACCATGACTCGTCCATCCTAGGTGACCCTGCATGGCGTGGCTCATAGCTTCATTGAGTTACATAAGCCCCTTCACCACGACAAGGCTGTAATCCATGAAGGGGGTCTATATTCCTACCAGTAGTGTTTTCAAGGCAATTTTGGCTTTTGCTCACATAAACTTTAAAACCCTTGCAGCTTCTACCCATAACCCAACTGCAAAGCCACTAACTCATTTTTTTTCTTTTTTTTCCATTTATTTTTATTAGTTGGAGGCTAATTACTTTACATCATTGCAGTGGTTTTTGTCATACATTGAAATGAATTAGCCATGGATTTACATGTATTCCCCATCCCGGTCCCCCCTCCCACCTCCCTCTCCACCCAATCCCTCTGGGTCTTCCCAGTGCACCAAGTCCAAGCACTTGTCTCACGCATCCAACCTGGGCTGGTGATCTGTTTCACCCTAGATAATGTACATGTTTCGATGCTGTTCTCTTGAAACATCCCACCCTCGCCTCCTCCCAGAGTCCACAAGTCTGTTCTATACATCTGAGTCTCTTTTTCTGTTTTGCATATAGGGTTATCGTTACCATCTTTCTAAATTCCATATATGTGTGACTAACTCATTTTTAGGTATTTGTTACATTAGCTCCCCTGAGGCCTCTCTCAGGAGATGGTCACCTCCTTCTCCCTGTGTCCTCACCTGGCCTTTTTTCTGTGTGAGAGCAGCCCTGGTGTCCCTTCCTCTTCTCATAAAGGCACTAGTCTTATTGGTTTAGGGCCTCACCCTTAGGACTGCGTTTAATCTTAATTACCTCTTTAAAGGCCCCATCTCCAAACACAGTCACATTGGGGTGTTAGGGCTTCAACATATGAACCGGGGCTGGGGGGTGGGGGTGGATGCTGTACAATTTAGTCAGTAATACTGATAAACTGAATTTCAGTAAATTTAAAACTTTTGTTCTTTAAAAAAAATAAAACCCCAAAGAAAATGAAAAAGCCAGTCACTGAGAAATATATATTCACAATACATACACTGACAAAGAACTTATATCCAAAATAGACAAAGAACTCCTACATCTCAAAAATAAGATGAATCACTCCAAAATATTTGAATAGTCACTTAACAAAAGAAGATATGTAAATGGCCCAAAAGCATATGAAGAGATGTTCAACATCATTAGTCTTTAGGGAAATGCAAATTAAAGCTACAAGGAAATACGCACACCACTAGAATGGTTAAAATTAAAAGATGTGACAGTACTAAATGTAGACAAGCATGTGGAGGGCATTTTGTTGTTTAGTTGCCAAGTCGTCTCTGACTCTTCGCAACCCCAGGGATTATAGCCCACTGCCTCCTCTGTCCATGAGATTTCCCAGGCAAGAATACTAGATTGGGTATGGTGGGCATATGGCCCTCCATATTTGGAGGTTTTGCAGCCACAAGTTCAACCAACCATGGAAAAAAAATATTTTTAAAAAAAATTCAGACAGCTCCAAAAGACAAATTTGAATTTGCCACACAGTAGCAAATATTTATGTAGCATTTGCATCATATTTACAATTATTTACATAGTGTTTGCATTTATATTAAATATCATAAGTGATCTAGAGATGATTTAAAGTATATGAGAGGATGTGCAAGTGTTGTATGCAGATACAAAGCCCCTTATGTAAGGGAACTTAACTCTGCAGATTTCTGTGTCAGTGGGTGATCCTAGAACCAATCCCTTGTGGATACTGACCATGTATTGTTGGTGGGAACTACAATGATATAGTCACTTTGGAAAATAGCTTTACAGTTTCTAGTAAAGTCACACATTCAGTGACCACGCTTCCCAGATTCCACTCCTAGATCTATATCCAAGAGATGTGAAAACATATATCCATATGAAGACTTGTATGTGAATTTTCATAGCAGCTTAATTCGTAATTCCTTGTTATGGACTGAATTGTGTTCTACCCATTAGTCACTCATGTGTTAAAGCCCTAACACCCTTTAGACTGTATTTGGAGATAAAGTCACAAGTATACCGTATTTAAGATGTAAGAGGCAATTAAGATTAAATGCGGTCCTAAGGGTGAGACCCTAAGCCAGTAGGATTAGCACCTTTATGAGAAGAGCAGGGGACACCAGGGCTGCTCTCACACAGAGAAAGGGCCAGGTGAGGACACAGGGAGAAGGAAGGTGACCATCTCCTGAGAGAGGCCTCAGAAGACAGCAGACCTGCTGACACCTTGATCTTGGACTTCTCGTCTCCAGACCATGAGAAATCAATGTATTTGTATCACTTAAGATTACACATACAAGTGATATCATATGACATCTGTCTTCCTCTGTCTGACTTAATTCACTTAGTATGACAATCTCTAGGTCCGTCCATGTTGCTGCAGATGACAACAACCACCACCACATTTCATAAATGAAGAATAAATTAGATGAAATATAAGAGCAAATACAGCAGATAATGCCTTAAAAGAAACAGAAGGTGAAAAGAGAGAAAATTTTTAAAATAAAAGAGAACTGAAATGTAAATGCTCAAGTTATAAGACTCATAGAAGAAAGCACAGAAGAGCATCTTCGTGACCTTGAATCAGGCAAACATTTCTTCAGTTCAGTTTAGTTCAGTTTAATCACTCAGTCGTGTCCAACTCTTTGTGACCCCATGGACTGCAGGACACCAGGCCCTCCCTGTCCATCACCAACTCCTGGAGTTTACTCAAACTCATGTCCATCGAGTCTGTGATGCCATCCAACCATCTCATCCTCTGTCGTCCACTTCTCCTCCTGCCCTTAATCTTTCCCAGCGTCAGGGTCTTTTCAAATGAATCAGCTCTTCGCATCAGGTGGTCAAAGTATTGGAGTTTCCGCTTCAACATCAGTCCTTCCAATAAACATTCAGGACTGATTTCCTTTAGGATGGACTGGTTGGATCTCCTTGCAGGCTAAGGGACTCCCAAGAGTCCTCTCCAACACCACAGTTCAAAAGCATCAGTTCTTTGGTGCTCAGCTTTCTTTATAGTCCAACTCTCACATCCATACATGACCACTGGAAAAACCATAGCCTTGACTAGACAGACCTTTGTTAGGATTAGGACACCAAAAGGAAAGAAAGCTGATATGTTAGTCTGCCAGGGCAGCAGTAACAGAATGCCTGACTGGGGGCCTAAACTCAGTGTAAATGCTGGCTTATCAGAGTGATATTTTAAAACCATAAATCAGATAGCTTCAGTCCCCCTGTTCAGAACCTTCCAGCAGTTTCCTATGACATATGGAATAAAATCCAAACTCCATACCAAGATGGTGAGACTCTGCCTGCTCTGCCCACCCACCTCCGTCCTCATCTCCAGTCTGCCCACCCTCTCTGTTCCTTGTCCACTGGGCTTTGGCCACCCTGGTCTTGCTTTTTTTTCTGGACTGATCAAATCCCTCCCCATCGCAAGGCTTTTGCTTTTGCGATTTCCTCCCCGCCCCACCCCTTCTCCTGGCTCCCTTCTCAGCATCCCAGCCTCAGCTTCAGCACTGTCTTCCTGACCTTTCCTGAGCTGCCTTCAGAAAGTAGTCACCCCACCTTCCCCTGTTTTCACCGCACTTACCAGCTCCTGGGTTTATCTTTTCATGAGACAATGGTGGGAAAGCTCCTCCTTCCTGAATGTCGGTTCCCGAGGGCAGGACCTCATCTGCCATGAATTGCCGATTCCCCAAGAATAACGCCCAGCAAGCGGGTCCCTCCTTTGCACCTCAGTGTTCTCAGGAAGTTGGAGTCATGGACTTGGGTGTCCCCTCCGACATTCACGTAGCACCCAGCACAAAGTGGGACACACAGCGGGGGCCTGTAACTGTCTGAATGAATCAATGTGGCGGAGAATGGTTACTAGCAGAGCGGCCCTGAGAGGGAGACATCACAAATGAGGAGATTCAGGCTTAGGGACTCTAAGGTCCCAGAGCTAGTGATGGGCAGAACCCGGGTTCCCACCCTCATCTGTCATTCTTGAGTCCAAGCTCCTAACAGGACGGTCCTTCTGTCTCAGTTGATGGCTGGCTGGCCAGACAGATGGATGGATGGACAACCAGGTGGGATGGAGGGACAAGTAATCATGCATTCTCCAAGTTTCCTCATCCCAAGAGGCCGAATCCGTGACCCACACTCTTCTGTCTCCTCCCTCAGCTTTGTACCCCCCAGACGGTGGCGGAGAGTGAAAAGGTGTGCCGGAACCAAAGAACTGATGTGTTCTCTGATGTGCCTGGAGAAGCAAGACCTGTGCAACAAGTTCAAGGGGCGTGTGCAAGCAGTTTCACATGGCGCCAGGTCCCCCTGGGTAGAGTCCAAGTCCATGGATTACTTCTTTGAAGGTGGGTAAGGGGCCTGTGAGAGGGAGGCTGTCTGCCCAGGAGCTCAGCTCAGTGACATTGCTGTCCTAGCCATCTGTCCTCCACTTCCCAAAGCGGTGGGCAGCTCTGGAGCCATCCGCCATGGGCCCCAGCCTGTAGTCCAAGTAGTCTGACTTGGCGACCGGGAATCAGAAGCGTTCGCCAGCCCCAGCAGTTCGGGGTGTGTGTGTGTGTGTGTATGTGTGTGTGCCACTCAGTTGTGTCTGACTCTTTGTGACTGAATGGACTGTAATCCACCAGGTTCCTCTGAGCACAGAATTCTCCAGGCAAGAATACTGGAGTGGGTAACCTATCCCTTTCCCAGGGGATCTTCCCAACCCAGGGATCAAACCCGGGTCTCCTGCATTGCAGGCAGATTCTTTACTGTCTGAGCCACCAAGGAAACCCAGTTCTGTTCGTACCTCCAACTAATGAGGTTCATGATCTTCTACTGTATACAACCTTGGTTATGAACTACACAAAGCACTTTACTTATTCCTATTTTTGTTAATGTTCAATCTCTCTCTTTCAGAAATATTTTTTAAATTTTGGTTCAAAAAATAATTTTTGTACACCATAGAAATTTCAGGGGAAAGAGAGAGAAGAACAGGAAGGAAAACATTCCCCATGCTTATAATCAGGAATCACCATTGTTAACATTGAGTGAGGAGAGCAATTTTTTCTCCAAAGTATTTTATTTCTGACCCTCACAACAGGCCTGTGAGGTTCATTTTAATCCACCCGTGTTTTTAAAAAAATTTAAAAATTAAGACTTAAAAAAGTTAAGAAACTTACTGGCTAGTAATTGATGGAGATGTGATGTGAAATAGCTCTTTCTGATCTTGGACAAGATGCTGGATTGGGTCAAGAGTAAGAAAGGGAGTGTAAATACTCAGACAATAGCTTCATGGAGCTGAAATCTGTAATTTATCATTCAGGCTTCTTGAAATATTTGAGGACAAAATAGGGCTTGAAGGGAGGGGAGGAAAGGATTGAATGAAGGATGGCAGGAAAGAGTGAGAGAAGAAAGAAGCGGTGATTGGGATGGGAGGAAGCTGGCAGGGTGGATTGACAAATGGAGGAAAAGGATGGATGAATGAGAAGAAAGGAAGTGTGGAAGCAATAGGGAGGAAGTGATGGATGCGTGGGAAGGATGTGGCTAGAAGGATGGATAAATGCTTACTATGAAGGAACTAGTATGGGTGGAGAAGCACAGGATAGGTATGAAACTCGGATGGGTCAGTGGCTAGAGACTATAGAAGGAAGGCTGGCTGCCTGGCAAGGGAGGGAAAGGTGAGAGGGAAGGAGAAGCAAAGGAGAAAGGAAAAGCAAGAAGAAAAGATACATGGAAAGAAAACAATGGATGGATAGAAAGGATGGAGGGATAGCAAAGTAGGCTGATTGGCTAGATGAAAGGAAGAAAGAAAGTATAAATGATTAGGAAGACAGGATGGATAGGAAGGAAGAAATGTCAGCTGGAAGGAAAGGAAGATTGGATAATTAGGAAGAAGGAAGGATGGCTGAGAAGGATGTATGGATGGGAAGGAAAAGAAGCATAGTTACGAAATATGGACAGATGGACGAAAAGGAAAAGAAAGTTGGGAAGGCAGACAGAAAGGTTGTCTGCCTAGAAGAATGATGGATGAATAGGAATAAGAATTAGAACAATAAAGGGACAGATGCAGAGACGTGCTTACTTTTTTATTTTTTTAATTAATTTATTTTGTTTCTTCCTCCCTAAAGCTCTTCTGATTCTCTTAGAGCACACCTCAGGCTTGAATAATCCTTCCTGCCTTTTTTCTGCACTCAACCATGACCCTGGTCACATTATCTCTTGAGTTTTGTTAGTTTGAATATTTCATTTTCCTTCTAATTTCCTCCAACTCCTTGAGGTCAAAATTTATGGGGGCCTCGTCTCCCCACTTCTCTCAGCTCCCTGCCCAGGACTTAATACATATCAGTGTCGAGTGGGTGTTTCCTGATCACGTAAGTAGTGGCACCTTGCAGAAGCCCCATGCTTTCCCTGAGCACAATCAGAGCAGGGAAGACCAATGTGGTCAGGGCTCCTGCCGTTTGGTACTCAGGGAAGGCAGCATGGAAAAAGTGGCATTTCAGCTGGACCTCGAAAAACGGTATATTAATTTTCTCTTGTTGCTTTATTCTGTGTCACTGCCCCCTCCATCTTCAAACCATCAGTCAAACCTAAATAATCTTGATCAGACTGTCAGTAGAAATGGACATTAAAGATTCTGCCAGTGAGGGCTCAGAAGGAAGTGAAGAACATCATAAAGGAAGCCTACATACCCTTCAGGTCCATGGGATTTTCCAGGCAAGGATACTGGAATGGGTTGCTATTTCCTTCTCCAGGAGATCTCCCCAACCCAGGAGTCGAGCTCTTGTCTCCTGCCTCTCCTGTATTGGCAGACAGATTCTTTACCACTGAGCCACCTACGAAGCCATAAATCTCTTTCAAGAATAGTTAAGTCATCATGAGCAGACTGTTAGTAGAAGAATGGATACTAAAGGTACTGCCTCACAGAAGGAAGTGAGGAATATGTTTCTGAAAATTTCGGGAAGGGGGATGCCTCTTATATACTGAAAAACGATGAGCAAATTTGTATCCTACATGTGTATGGAAAACAGAACTCATAAATGATTAATTTGGTCCTTTATCAAGGAGATTTCCAAACAAAAATATTGAAGGCATGGTCTGGTTTATTATTGGCAACTATAGCAAAATGCAAGGAGGAAAGAGAAATTGAGGAAAGAGCCTAAACAAAAAGGAGCTAGGACTCAAACGTCTGGACAACTCTCAACCTATCCAGATGGCAAAAGATGCGAAAATTAAGAAATTTCTTCCAGGAGTGTGACACAGAGAAATAGCCAAGGGTGTGACTGCACGCCTGGACTTCCTGGTGGCACCAGTGATAAAAAACCTGCTTGCCAATGCAGGAGACATAGGTGACATGGGCTTGATCCCTGGGTGGGGAAGATGCCCTGGATGAGGGCACAGTGACCCACTCCAGTATTCTTCCCTGGAGAATCCCGGTGGACAGAGGAGCCTGGCGGGCCACAGTCCATGGGGCAGCAAAGAGTTGGACGAGACTGAAGCAACTGGGCATTCATACACCCACGTGATTGTATAACCACTTACTAAAACCTCAGATCAACGTGTTTGGCCCAGAAAAAATGCTCTCAGAAGAGATTTAAGGGTATGACACACAGTCCCCTTCAATCAAATCAAGGGGCCTCTAGAAAGCGGAGGTGTCACCCCTCAGCCAGCTCAACTAAAGCCAAATAGAAACAGCTCTTCTCAAAAAGACATGTGGAACTGGCTTCTGTCGGATGCAGTAGGTCCCCATGACATCTGTAGGAGATCTGTAAGCTTCTTGAGCATTTTATATCAGCAGAAACAGCGTCAGTTTGGATGAAAAGGAGCAGAGAGAATATGAAATGAAAGAAGGCTATTGGTGCCCCAATTTCTACTGGAAAGAAGCAGACTGTAAACTATTTAGCTGCAAATATCTTTCATGAAAAAGAAGGGTTATTCAGAGAGTGGAACCAAGATCCTAGAGAGCACTGTTGAAAGCCAAGGAAATGTAGTTCCCAGGCCTAAAAATCTAATACAGTTTGTGTAGCTAGATTTCAAAACTGCTTCGGCTCAGTGAGTGTTTTACCTCCTGTTTCTCCCTATTTGAACCAAAATGTCCATGATTATTGTCCGCTGCCCATCCCACCTCCTTATATTGGGAGCAGATAACTTGTACTTTATTTTCACCGGTCCACAAGTGGACAGGAATCCAGGTGTCATACTGAGTACATTGGACCCAGACTCTCACCTGAACCTGATTTAGATACTTTAGAAGATGAGATTTTGGAATTTGAGTTGATGCAATAATGGGATGAGACCCTGGGGGGCCTTGGGACAGGGTGAGATGGCTTAATGGTAAAGAATTCGCCTACCAGTGCGGGAGACACAGGGAACACAGGTTCAATCCCTGGGTTAGGAAGATCCCCCAGAGAAGGAAATGGCAACCACCTCCAGTATTCTTGCCTGGAGAATCCCATGGACAAAGGAGCCTGGTGGGCTACAGTCCATGGGGGTCACAAAGAGTCGGACACAGATGAGCAACTGAGCCTGCACGCACAGGATGGGGTGAATGTATGTTGCCCTTGAGAGAGACAGGAATTTCAGTCTCTCAGGAATCATACAGAGAACCATGATAGGCAGAATGACTCCCCCCAAAGATGTTCATGCTTTAATCCCTGAACCTATGAATATGTTAAATGTTAATATTAGATGGCAAAAGGGATTTTACTTAAGTTTATGGGTGTTAAAATAGTGAGATTATCTTGGGTTATCCAAATGGGCCCAATCTAGTCCCTTGAGTCCTTAAAACCAGAGACCTTTCTCCAGCTGGAGGCAGAAGACATGTAGAAGAAGGGATATCAGAGAGTTGAAATGTGAGAAGGATTAAATATGGTGTTTCTGCTTTGAAGATGAAGGGGTAACGTGATTAGAAATGCAGGTGCTGGGACTTCCCTGGCAGTCCAGTGGTTAAGACTCCATGTTTCAACTACAGGGGACATGGGTTCAGCCTCAGGTCGGGGAACTAAGATTCCCATAATGCTATGCAGTGTGGCCAAAAAATTTTTTAAAAAGAAAAAGAAGAAAGAAGCACAGGTGTCTTCAGAAGCTGAGAGAGGCTCCCGCCTAACAAACAGCCTGGAAATAAACCTCAGCCTCACAGCTGCAGGGAACTGAAATCCGCTAACAACAATAATGAGTATGGGAGTGAATTCTGCCCCCAAAGTTCCCAGAGGAGAGCCCAGGCCGGCTGACACCTTGATTTCCACCCAGCGTTGAGAACCCCATCAAGCCCACCCAGACTCTTACCTCCAGAACTGTGACATGATAAATCTGTGTTGATATAAACCACTGAGGTTGTGGCAATGTTATGGCAGCAGCGGAATACTGATACAGATGGGCAGGAAGCTGACAGACCAGGGACAGGTGAAGGGCACCCGGGGGAAGGGGCAGCTTAACTGTCTGTGCGCTGGGTGAGGGGCAGGCCTGCCTGCAGGAAGGGGTCTGCGTGCTCTGTGGCCCGCGGAAGGCCCTGACAGGCCCCGTTCTGTGTCCGCCAGTGGAGCCAGCCCCGCCTATCCTGATGTTCAACCAGACAGAGGAGATCCTGATCGTCAATGCTACGTACCAGCTGCCGCCTTGTGTGCCCCAACCAGATCTGAACTATGAGGTGGACTTCTGGAAGGAGGGGGCTAAGAACAAGGTGAGAAGCCGCCTTCAGGCCCCCCCAGGCTGAGTCCCCTTCCCCAGTCTCCCAGCAGATCCCCATGCTCTTCACCCTCCGAGCCTTGCCCCCTGGATGCCTCCTCCAGGAAGCCTTCCATGCCCACCCCTCACTGCTGCCGTCACCCTCTTGACTTTGTAGTGTGATTGACTTGTGGCTCCCCTCTGCCCCAAACCCCCACCCAAGGGGCCACGTCCAGGACATCCTTCTCCTGAATATTACAGCTAGTAACAACAGGGCAGTTTTGTTTTGTTTTCATTATGAAACTTTTTTAAAAAAATAAAATCTGATTGAAGTATGATAGGCTCTGGGAGGCCTACTTGCTGAGGCACCAGATTCATTAGGAAAAAAAACTAGAAAATTCAGATAAATTCTAGGAAGAAAACCGAAAGTATCCAGAGATGATTTCAAATAGCTCTTTGGTATATATACAATTTGGAGAAGGCAATGGCAACCCACTCCAGTGTTCTTGCCTGGAGAATCCCAGGGACGGGGGAGCCTGGGGGACTGCCATCTATGGGGTTGCACAGAGTCGGACACGATTAAAGCGACTTAGAAGCAGCAGCATATATACAATTTCAGACTTGTTTCTGTGTATGCATGTGCTTATGTCTGTATCTATTTGTTTATGGTTAGCAAATTTGTTTACGGTTAGCAAATTTTTTCCATAATTGGCCAGAGAGTAAATATTTTTGACTTGGCAGGCCATAGCGTCTCTCACATCTATTCAGCTCTATCTGTAACATGACAGGAGCCATAAGTAAATAGGTAAATGAAGAGGCATAGCCATCTTCCAGGAAAACTATTTTCAAACAAAGGTGAAGTTAAAGTCTCTGGACCCCTGTTCTTATTCATTCTGTCTTTTACTGAACCCAGACTCACACTCCTGACCTCCTGCACACTCTGGATCCCAGAGACAAAGATCTTCATCTGATGTGGTCCTTGCCTCCAAGAACCTCACAGGTGTTCTTGTGTTCTTTCTACTGTCCAGTAGAAACATAATGCAGAACACACTGTGTCCCTTAAATGTTCCACATTCAATTAAGTAAAAAGAAACAAGTGAATTTAGTTTTCACAGTAGATTTTATTTCATTCAATAGAATGTAATCATCTCAACATGTAGTTAATATAAAAATTACTGGGATTTTTGGGTTGGTCTCTCATGAAAGTTGGTATGCATTTTATACTGGAGCGCATCTTGGTTGGTACCAGCCATGTTCCAAGTGTTCAATAGCCCCATGCGGCCAGTGGCTACAGTGTTGGACAAGCAGCCCTAGAGTTTTCTGTCTGTATTGGCCGAGTGAATACCCCTGTGTGTTGTTTAGTCACTGAGTCAGGTCCAGCTCTTTGCCACCCCATGGACTGCAGCACACCAGGCTCCTTCTGTCCTCCACTATCTCCCGGAGTCTGTTCAAATTCATGTCCATTGAGTCCATGATGCTATCTAACCATTTCCTCTGTCACCCCCTTCTCCTTTTGCCTTCAACCTTTCCCAGCATCAGGGTCTTTTCCAATGAGTCGGCTCTTCCCATCAGTTGGCCAAAGTATTAGAGCTTTCACTTCAGCGTCAGTCCTTCCAGTGAATCTTCCGGGGTGATTTCCTCCACCCTAATATTTTGACATGCCCTGAGGGTAGGAAACCTGAGGCATCTTCCCCTGAAAGTGAGGACCACTGGGCCCTGGTAGGGTATGCCTGGGAGTAACCCTGAGTGGCAGGGCTGCTTTTGAACCCAAACCATCTCCACCTTGAGACTCAGCGAAAAAGAGAAGCCAGATAGTGTTCGGAAGTGCTCTCTGAATGCTTAAGCCTTAATGCAAGTAAAGAAGTTGTGGGAATCCCAGCTGTGCCATACCTGCCAAACCCACCCCATCCTGACTGCATGGAGCCAGTTCCCCCCACAGGTCCACTCTCCTCTGTTTCTCTCTCCACACAGACCCAGTTTCCAGCCACTCCCCATGGCCAGCCAGTCCAGATTCCCCTCCAGCCAGACACCAACGGGTACCACTGCCTCAGTGCCAGAACCATCTACACCTTTGGCAGTCCTAAATACAGCGAGTTCTCCGAGCCCACCTGCTTCTTCGTGGAGGCCCCGGGTGAGTGCCAAGTGGTACAGAAGTGAGGACTTCCCCCCTGAGCTTTAGGATCTTCATCACGTGGTGGTTAAGAGCCCAAGTCTAGAGACAGACTCGCCTCCATTAAAATTCCAGCTTCACCTCCACTCACTATGTATCTTTGGGCAGTTTACATAATCTCTCTGAACCTTGCTTTCCACCCTCTGTAGGATGGGTTTAATTCAGGTTTTTTTTCTTTTTAAATTTTATGTATTCATTTATTTTGGTTGCACTGGGTCTTCACTGCTGCTAGAGGGTTTTCTCTAGTTGCCACAAGTGGGGGCTACTCTTTGTTCGGGTGCAGGGGCTTCTCATTGCAGTGACTTCTCTCATTGAGGAGCACGGGCTCTAGTGTGGGCTTAAGTAGTGGTGTGCAAGCTTAGCTGTCTTGAGGCATGTGGGATCTTCCCAGACTAGGGATTGAACCCATGTCACCTGAGTTGGCACTCAACCACTGGATCACCAGGGAAGTCCTGGGTTTATTCTTATGAGAATTAAATAGGATAATGTATGTGAAGCCTCAGCTCAGATGCAACTGATAGACAGGAGCCCCTGTTTCTCTAGTCACTATTTTTTTTTCTTCCTAGGATCCAACTGGGCCCTCCTATTGCTGCTACCGCTTCTGCTACCACTGCTGTTGGCTGTTGCCATAGGGCCTGTGATGTGGAAGACCTTCATGGGGAACCCCTGGCTTCAGCAGACAAAGATGCCACAGGCCCTGGTATGGCAAATCTGGGGGTGTGGGACAGGGAGGGAGGGTTGTCCAAGAGGAAGGAAGTGGAGCTAGACTTGGTAGATAGTTCAGGTAGAATATCAAGATGGCCTAGACTGCAAAATGTCTATCTACCCGTCTAAATTTTCACCATTAGTGATTCATTCCTTTGGCACCAAATTAAAAAAGCAGATAAGCCTGGGAGGGACAAGTGCCTTAAATCCCTTTTTAAAATAATTTCATCTCTGCTAAGGATTTGTCAAGTGCCACGAGCAGAATCCCCAGCCTTGGGATTCAGGAGAGATGCCGGGAGGGGAGGCGGGGAGGGTGGAACCGAAAGGAGACATCTTAAAAAGGTCCCAGCACTTTGTTCACCGTCTAACTGAGTGTAAGTCTTGTGCAGGCAGACCCTGCAATTTCTTCATTGGTCTGCTGGCTCACTCACTTAGAACCTGGGGCCACTGGGACAAGGGAAGCCTAGAGAGGCCAGATTTGTTCAGTGGAGGCCTGGAAAGGAAAGCTGAGTCATACATGGGGCTCGGTGGGCACTTGGGTTGGATGGGAACTTTGAGGATGGCCTCTGAGTGTTCCCCACATGGAAGTGTTTGACATTCCTGGACCTGCAGGGAATTCCCAGTCACTGGAGGACTACCTCTGTGTTAGACATCCGTACCTGCCCCATCCCTCTACCTTCCCGAGCGTGCATGCATGCGAAGTCACTTCAGTCGTGTCTGACTCTTGGCAACCCTATGGACCGTAGCCCGCCAAGCTCCTCTGTCCACCTTCCGTTACATGGTAGATCACCAGCCCGACCTCCTAAAGCCAGCGCCTGCAACCTGGACGCTTTCTCTGGCCTCTGGTGCCCTCTCTGCCTGTGCACCTCACAGGCTGCGTGTGCCAGGGAGTTCACGCCACCACCCCCTCCATCCCTCCCTGGCTGGTGTTCTGAGGCCCCGGTGCTGCAGCCGCTCCAAGTCCCCAGCAAGGCTCAGCTCCAGCTGCCCTCAAGGTGACCTGACTCATCATACCCCGCTACAGGCTGCTGCGCCTTGCTGGCACTTCCTGGGATGACTTCCTAGAGAAACGGCTTCCGTTTGAATCATTGTCTCTTTCCTTGTCTATTTCCCGGGGAACCCAAATTAGAACATTTGTGCTTCCAGAAAGGCTGAATCTTCTGTTCTCTCTCCTCTCCCCAAATCAGCACTTCTCCGAAAACAGACACTACAGGGTAACCTTTCAGCCCAGTGGCCCAGAGTGCGTGCACAACCTGATCCTCTGTCCCCAAAAGGAACTGACCAGAAGGGTCAGGCTGACCTCTAGAGTCAGGGCCCCAGCCCCTGTCCAGGCCGGACCAGAGAAGGACAGCGGTGAGGAGAAGGACGGTGAGGAGAACACAGATGAAGAGGACACGGATCCCGGTGTCAGCTTCCAGCCCTACGTTGAACCGCCCCCCTTCCTGGGGCAGGAACTCCAGAGCCCGGGGCCCGCCGAGGCAGGAGGGCCCTGGACTCCACTGGTCCAGGGGGAAGGCTCCTCTGCCTACGATTCTTCAGGCAGAAGCTGGGCCAGCACTGCCGGCTCCTCCTCCTCCTGGGATGAGGCTGGATCCTCTGGCTATTTGGCCAAGAAGGGGCCAGGCCAGGGGCTGCGTCGGGAGGAACAGCAGAAGCCTCTCCCACCACCCAAATTCTCTGAGGACTCCAGTTCCTCGGGAGAGCCCCCCAAAGACAACCTCTCCACCTGGACCACCTGGGGCTTATCATCACCAGGGCTGAATCTAGTCCCTGGAGAACCCCCAGTTTCTCTTCGGACACTGACCTTCTGCTGGGACAATAGTCCTGAGGATGTTGAGGGGGAGGAAGAAGAGGAGGAAGAGGGTTGGAGGGAGTCAGAAAGTGAGGACAACGGTGCTGGCAGCTGGGGGGCTAAGAGCCTCCAGAGGACCGAGGTCAGACCCCTGGGGCATTACTTGGCCAGGTGAGCTGTGCCTCCGAGTCTGGCTGCTGCTGAGTTTTCTGGGGACCCAAGGCGTCACCAAGACTTGAAATCCTGGGCGTATCGTTGCTGGGGCAGCAGAGTGTCTTCAGAGTACCTCGGGGAGCCCCAGCTATTAGAGGCCGTCCACCAGGCTGAGCCGTCAGAAGCCACCCGCCCTCTGACCTGCCTGCTTTGTGCCAAGCACCAGGAGGGGTGGAGACGAGAATGGGAGGAGGTCAGAGGTTGGTTGTGTCAGATCACCCCACTGTCCCCGGGGTGATAGGCCAGCTGGAAAGATTATCTCCGGACAACGTGAAACGGGCAAGGTCAGGTCCCAGTGGACACTGAAGGCCGACAGTGCAAGGGCCCATCCGGCTTTGGAGAGAGAAGGAATTGGAGGCACATCTGGTGGAGCAGAGACTCGCATCTTTCTCCAGCATCCGCTGGGCTTCCTCCTCCGCAGAACTCGGCCTTCTGGTTTATGAGTTCCCTAGGGTGGGCCCCAGTGAAGAAAAATCTAGTTGGCCAAGGGTGTTGAAGAGGCAGAGGAAGGGGAAGGGCGTTGTCATTGAAAGCCCAGTCTCTGAGTCACGCGTTTCACAATCTATAATATCAGACAGACCTGGGTCCAGATCGCAGCTCTGCCATTTACCAGTTGTGTGGCGGGTGGGGAGACACCCTCCTCTGTGCCTGAGTCTCCTCTCCACAGCTACCACCTGGGGCGTGGCGAGAGTTCCGGCAGACGTGATGCCTGCCACATCGTTGGCACTCACCACGTGGCGACCAGTAGGATTCTCCCATTCACCCAGGCTCCGGGCGGTGGGGGGACCACTGGGCATCTCCTACCTGTGACCCTAAACTCAGAGTGACTGGATTCTCACTCCAAGTCTCCCACCTACCTCCCACCCTCACTGCCCCCCGCCTTGTGGTGAGGAAACCGAGTTCTCAAAAGCTGAAGCCCAGTCAAGGGGATCCCTGGTCCCTCTCCCTTTTCACGGCAAAGAAAGAACCAAACGGTCCACGGTCTAGGGAGCCTGATTAATTGGTGGTGTAGAAGCAACCCAGCAGGGGATTGGGCCCCCGAGCCTGTGATCCCCAGCTTAGAACTTTAGACCCTTCAGTTGCCCATTGTTGTTGTAAAGATGTCCCATTTCCCCTTCCAGTTTTGAGAAACCACTGTTTCTGGAAATAGGTGACTGTTCTTCCCTGGGGGTAGTGATGGATGTTCTCAAACAACTGATTTGGTAACCTAATTTTCTCAGTCTTGTGGCCCTGCGGGAACCACAGAGATCAGAACAAACCTTGGCTCTGCCATTTCACCTGCCAGGACTTACATGTTTTTCCAGTGATGCAAAAAGCATCTTCATAAGCTTTGTACCCACAGGGCTGTGCTGTTTAGAAGTCAGCATAAAGGTATAGCATAGAGAGAATGATCTGGAAAAGCTCCTCAAACTTCCAGGGCTTCTCAAACTGTGTTCCCAAAAGAGCCTGGGTTTCACAGGAGGAGTCTCAGTCTCAGGGGAAGCTAGAGGTTCCCCCGGGTTCAACCAGAGAAGCCTCCCTGGACCCTCATTTTCCTCCAGCACTCTCCATGTGCAGTTGTGCTTGGGAGTCTCCACTGCTGAAGAAAAAGTTAACAAGCCCCCTTTGAAGCTGAAAATCCTGTCTTCTGTTTCAGCTGAGGAAGCAGAAATGTTGACTTCACTGTATGTATCGCTAAGAGTGAGGTTGGGTCTCTGGCTCGCCAGGGCAACCCCGGTCCCCTTGGCCATGTAAACAGTACCAAGGTCTTGGCAAGGGGCACGGGGTTGCAGGGGCCTTCACCACTGCTGGGAGGCATGCACGTGCCTGCACGCCCAGGCACACACACGTGCCTGTCTGCAGAGGTTTCTCTCCCATGAGGCTCGTCTACACCCATCACTCAACACAGGAGAAGAAAAACACGCTGTACCCGTGGCACTGGGGAAGGCTCAGGACCAGTTCCCAGGGAAATACCCAGACCAAGCCCGGTGTCCTTTCTGGAACCTGTTGAGCTGCTTCAAGGAGGTAATTCCAAGTCCCTAAAAGCTATCATCACTGTTGTCTTAGGCTGGTGTGAAGTAACTAACCACTGTATTCTGAAACCTTGTGTGTTTTCTAAGTATTTTTTTCAAAGTTTAATTTCTGACATAGGCTGAACCCTCCTTGAATTCTAAAAGTCCAGCTCCTTCATGGTCATTAAGTTATAAACAAAAAACTATGGGCAGCATTAGGAAAGAACATGCTGGCCAATATTATTAGTTAGGTGTACTCAGCACTGAACTGTTTACAAAGCCCTTTCATAAACTCGGTGGCCAGGAACTGCATAGCTTGAACTCCAAGGCCACATGTGAGGAACAATGGGGGTGGAGCAGGCAATGCCCTAAGTAAAAGCAAGATTCCGATTCTTTAGGGTACTGAGAAGTTTATATATTGCTCTGAGATATTTGTATTTATTTCTAGCTTTATTTTATGTTTATATCATATTTAAATAATTTCCCAATGCTTGTTGGGACCTACCCTAAACTGTTTAAATAAAGAGCTCTATTTTTAGAGAAAAAGGCAAAATTGAATGGAAAAGTGTGTGCTCTTATTTCTCAAAGGCTCTTCACTAGTCTTGACTGTTAAGACTAGAGTAAGTCCCCTACATACGAATGTGTTCCATTCTGAAAGCACATTGGTAAGTCCAATTTTTTCATTAAGTCCAAAGAAGTTAGCCTAGGTACTCAGCTAACACTATCAGCTATACAGTACTATACTGTAATAGATTTATAATATTTCTTATACAAATAATGCATACAAACAAACACACAAAAAGAAAATATATTTCACCTCACAGTACAGCACCTTGAAGCTTCCCAGGTGGCACAGTGGTGAAGAATCTGCCTGCCAATGCAGGAGACACAGAAGACAAGGGTCCAACCCCTAGGTCAGGAAGATCCCCTGGAGCAGGAAATGGCAACCCGCTCCAGTATTCTTCCTTAAAGAATGGACAGAGGAGCCTGGTGGGCTACAGTCCATGGGGTCTTAAGGAGTCAGACACAGCTGAGAACTCACGCACAGTACCTTGAAAAGTACAGCCGCTGGCATACAGGGGCTGGCATCGAGTGAGCAGGCAAGAAGAGCTACTGACGGGAGAAGAGAGAGGAGATGGGAGATGGAAGAGCTGAAGGATCGTCAGCAACAGGAGATGGAGGGCAAGCTGCAGCTTCACTCACGCCTGACATTGATGGCACAGGTTCTGGTTTCTGCTGGAATCGGATGCACGTTCACATCTTTGAAAGTTCACAGTTTGAAGATATACATAGGGGCTTTACTGGATAGGGTCTTCAGTTGGGTCCCCAGCAGTGGACCAGAGACAAGGACTTGGGGGTATACAGCAGTGCAATGATTTCAGAAAGTACCAACAGGAGAGTGGAAGAGCGGGAGGGGAAGCAGCCAGTCCAGGTGCACAATCAGACAGGTAAGGTCTCTGAGCAAGTGGAGCTCAGTCTTCCTAGGGAGTTTTGGGAGTTCGGTATTAAACCCTCTAGATATGTTCCACTACCAGGGACAGGAACTGGGGAATTTATCCACCAACTCCCAACAGTCCTGTGTAGAGGGCCACTCCCTCCCAGAGAGGTGCGGGTACTTGCAATTGGAATCCATCAAACTGAGTGCACAAGACGAGTGCTACAGTGCGGCCAGAGCTGTGCCGACCACCCTGGCAGCTTGCCTTTTTGCAACAATGGCCTATGGAAGGATATAGAATATCCTACGTGGCAGCCTTATAAACCCAAATTCATTCTAGTAGAGCTCTACTGGGGAAGGGTCTCCCAGCTCCCACCAATTCTCCCTCAGGGTAACTTCTGAAAACCTAAAAAAAGAAGAAAAAAAAAAAAACAGCCTGTCATTTGACCAGCTAAATGGATTTATTCAGAAACAGCAAAGAATTGCCATTTGGAACATGCGATCCATGAGGAACAACAAGCAAGTCCAAAGGACAAGGGGAGGAATGTTTCTTTATAGGGGAAAGAGGGGCCACTATGAACCATCTATTGGGGGAAACTGGGAGTTCGAAGGGTAGTGACTCTTCATTGGCTGAGCTAGGACAGCCTCTCATTGGCTAGACTGTTGCCAGGCAAAGAGAAATTCCTCCTCCTGCTGGGTAGTAACATAGTAGCCCTCTTCCTGTTGGGTGATGCAAGGTTATGTCTCTTTCTGGGGAGTCTGCGATTGACAGCAAGAGGTAGAGCATGAGAGTTCTCCCTTCTGTCCTCCTGAGTCGTTCAGTCATGTCCAACTCTTTGCAACCCCATGGACTATAGCCCACCAGGCTCCTCTATCCCTAGAATTCTCCAGGCAAGAATACTGGAGTGGGTAGCCATTCCCTTCCCCAAGGGATCTTCCCAACACAGGATTCAAACCCAGGTGTCCCACATTGCAGGCAGATTCTTTACTGTGAGCCACCAGGAAAGCCCTTAATCCCCTACCTGTAAGCTATTATTTTCTGTAAACTTAGCATCTATGACTGCTTGCTTACAGCTTCCTGGAGTTCATTCCTGTGTGCACAAAATCAAGCTAAAGTGATGGGAGTTTGGGGGTTTAAAAAAAACCAGCGACTTCCCTGGTGGTCCATTAGCTAGAATACCATACCCCCAATACAGGGGTTCAATCCCTGGTCAGGGAACTAGATCCCACATGCCACAACTAAAAAAAAATACCCCACATACCACAATGAAGATAGAATATCACACATGCAGCAACCCAAATGCAGTGCAGCCAAATAAATAAATATTTCTTTTAAAAAAACAGATGAGAAGTTATCAGTTCAGTTCAGTCACTCAGTCATGTCCGACTCTTTGTGACCCAATGGACTGCAGTACACCAGATTCCCTGTCCATCACCAACTCCTGGAACTTACTCAAACTCATGTCCATTGAGTTGGTGATGTCATCCAACCATCTCATCCTCTGTCATCTCCTTCTCCTCCCACCTTCAATCTTT